ATTAGGATGGATCCTAAGAAGAGAGATTATAAATCCATAGAGTTTCGGACATTTAAACATTTTGTTACATATTAATCACTTTTAAGAAAGGAAATGTCTACTTATACACATTCATACACTCACAAATAGGAGGGCCCTGATAGTTCATCACACTCTCGCCAGCAACAAATATTGCTTGAAAAACTTCAATAATCTGATAAACGAATAATGGCATTTTGGATTAATTTGTATTTCTTTGATTACAGGTGAGGATGGCCTTTTTTCCCCATGTTTTTAATTGAGTATTTATCTCTTTCTTTTATATTCAGTCTGTGTTCCAGGCAAATTTTATTTTACTTATTTATTTTTTTTTGAGACAGAGTCTCACTTTGTTGCCCAGGCTAGAGTGAGTGCCCTGGCGTCAGCCTAGCTCACAGCAACCTCAAACTCCTGGGCTCAAGTGATCCTCCTGCCTCAGCCTCCCGAGTAGCTGGGACTACAGGCATGCGCCACCATGCCCGGCTAATTTTTTCTATATATATGTTAGTTGGCCAATTAATTTCTTTCTATTTATGGTAGAGACAGGGTCTGGCTCTTGCTTAGGCTGGTTTTGAACTCCTGACCTTGAGCATTCCGCCTGCCTCGGCCTCCCAGAGTGCTAGGATTACAGGCGTGAGCCACCGCGCCCGGCCCAAATTTTAAAAATGAAAAAAGTTTTGGTTAATTTAATGAATTTATTAATATTTCATTTCCTTTCACTGTCTTGGGAAGCCTGGTAACTATAAATATGAAACTAAGAAATATTTTTATTTTTATAAATGGGAACGGAGGAGAAAATGGTGCCTGTGAGATGCTATTCATTTGCTAGTCTCCTCCCCTAGTGATGAGAATATCCAGAACTGAAATAATACCACCTAACCTATACCTAATACTAATACTACCTGAACTGTAACATCCACAATGAGCGTGTCGCCAGGGTCTCATTTGTCTCCATGTGCTTCAGCGCAGAGCCCACTGCGGCCTGGCTCGCCCAGGGTGGCACAAGTGGAACAAGTGCCGTGGTGAGTTTAAGTTGGAATAGGTGTGCAGCACCTGCGTTCTGGGGTGGAGAGTTGCTAGCTGTTTCCCTCCATCCTCATTCCTCTCTGCTTCCTCCTCTTCTCAGTGTGTGGCCATTTATCTCTGCTCGCTTGGGTGGCCTCTGCACGGGTGCCAATGAGGCCAAGGTCAGAGGTTCTATCTTCATGTGACCTATTTAGCTTTGTTCTGTGTTGCGGCCACAAGCTGTACTCTTCTTCCTGTGGCAGCCGACTCCGAGGCGTGCTGCCCATTCCAGGGAAGAACAGGCTGTAGAGATGAGGCCGATTTCTAGGGCTAGAAGGACCCTGATGAAGTTCAGCCTTCTCATTTTACTCCAGCAGAAGAATTCCAGGACCCAGAGGCTTCCTTCTTCTCTCCTGTGCCGCGTCCCAGCCCCGATTCAGCATGCAGATGCATACCAAGCAATGTGGAGAAACAGACACTCAGCCCAACAGTGAGGGGAGGTCCGTGCTTTGATGCTGATGGATTGTTCACAGCAACTTTCTAATTGCATAATCCCTGCTACTTGAATATAAATGATACAGCCAGTATTTAAAGAACTTAAAAATTTGCCCCACAATAAGGTTGCTCTGAGTGGTCTCATTCAGATTCTTTACAAGGGACAAATAATTAATCTTTGAGGAAAATCATTTGATGATTTGGGGGAAAGAAAATTTTGTGGGAATAGGATGGTTAAATCAAAATAAATTGGCTGTCATCTTCTCAAACTTACAATTATTTCCAATTTCTGTACTTCTGTTAGTGGAGTGATCGTTATCCTAGTCACCAAGGCTAAAATCCATTGTACTTTCCCCATGAAAATTACTCTTATTACTCCTTTTCCCCTCTGCCAGCACCCTGCATGTTACAATGGGAGGGACTCGCCACCGCGCGCCCCCATCTGCTCTCGCTTTAACCACTGTGGTCCTCTGCTTTCCTGCCAAACCTCCCTTGCCCAGACCCATTTGTGGTTTGCCACTGTCTGCTCCAGTAAAGTCCAAATTCTGTTAATGTTGCAGATAAGAGTGGCTATTTCCATGTAGATCATTTTTTTCCCTTAGAATTGAGGTTATATTTTTTTTAATGAAGTTGCTCTCCCATTTATCATAGATGTCGTTTGTCTTCTGTTTACTTTCATACAGCAGTTTTAATGACAGCTCCATGTTCCTTAAGAAGAACCTGAAATCCAAAATGATGGAGGAGCACTGCGAAGGCCACAAAGCGATTGGTGTTTTCACAAACCAATCATGTTACTGAGTATTTAAAAATATATAAAAAATTTAAGGCCACTAGTGTTGGCCTTAAGACATTGCAGTCAAGTAAGCATCAGCCTGCATGTGTGTGTGTGTGTGCGCGCGCGTGTGTGCGGGGGTGTGTGCGTGTGTGTGTGTGTAAAGAGTCATCTAGAAGAGCTATCCCAGTCCTAGAGAATATAAGAAATGTTTTTCTTTTAAATATATACTTTTAAGTTTTAAGGCCACCATGTCCTCTGTCTTTTCTTATTTATGCATTATTTGGTAAATTAGGAAACTTTTGTTGATGTTAAGGAAGGGAATATAGACATGAACCTAAAATTGTAGCATGGACCTTGGACCTAGGCAGACCTGGTTCAGACCTGGGGTCTCTGCTTGTAGGCTGTGTAATCCTGGATTCTCAGTTTCAGTGTTCTGTCTGTAAGATTGAGGCATTCCTCTGTACATCAGGAAGTTTACTGGCAGTATAACATGAAGTGTAAAGTGTGCCAAGCAGCAGCTAATACAGTCTGCGGCACGTAGCACAGGTTCATGGTCGATTGGCGATGCCTTTCTCGCGTGCTGCGGTCCTGAGCGCACGGTGCAGGTTCTCCCTTGTGATTTCCATGCAAGCGCATAGCTATATTGGACCAGTCTACCCAGCCCCAGCAGGAAAGCGGCCCACATATATGTACTGCAAGGATTATTTCTTCTCTCCTACTCTGACAAATGGCCTGCGGCACAGCCAGCTGCCTGTCAGACGCTGGCCTGCTCCTTGGTGTGTTGGCTGACCAGTGGGAGTGCACGTGCAATTCGCTTTTCTTTTAAAGAGACTGATGAAGTAGGAGAGAGAAACTGAGTGTCCTAAGACCTAAACCCTAACTTTAAACTGTGGTTCTGACCGAATGTGTGACGTTGAACCAATGAGCCTTGGGACTCTGGTCTAGGCTACTATGATTCAGAGGCTAAGTCATTTCTTTACTCCTGGGATAATTATACTGACAGTCTATTTTAAATGCCAATTCCCCCTCACATACACACGTGCGGTTTATCTAGTAAATTCCAGATCATTCTTTAAAACCTAGCTCACGTGCCCCTTTCTCTCATTTGTGTATTCATTCAGCAAAAATTTATTGAGCACGTAGTATGTGTTAGATGCTGGGGATGTAGCATCGAGCAAAACAAAGACCCTGCCCTCACACCAACTCTGTGTTCTGTAGCCCTGTGCTTGCAGCAGGATCTCACTCCTCTGTAGTCCCTGGGCCGGTGACTTGCTCAGTTGAATCAAAGAACAAACACTTGCTTCTTGGGTCCTTGCTTTTCAGCTTAAGTGAATGACCCAAGTCGTGCAGCTCCCTGGGAGACATGCCGTGGGAATGTCGGGAGTGGTGGGTTGCTGTGGAGATGTTTCTGTCAGTCTAGGAGCTGCTGGAACTTGCCAGCCTTCCAGAAAATGTAGGGACATCACAGAACATTGTAGACCTCCCAGGTTTGGTGCCCTCCGTGCTGACACCAAGACTCTCCTGCTGCTGCAGTCCCGCAGGTGGTGAAGAGAGAGGACACACAGTGCCGACGAGCGTGCATCGGCCCGGGGAAAAACCCCGGGAAAAGAAACCCAACCAACCCCCCCTAACCGCCCCGGCCGGCAGGCATTTCCTGGCCATTGTTCGCGGAGGCCGCCGCGGCTCCGTTTCCGTCCCAGCCAAGCGGAGCTGGAGCTGGCCGGGCCCTCTGACAGGGCTGGCTCGTGTGCAGCTCACACAGGCCGCCGTCAGGACCAGCCCTCGCGGCAGTGGCGGTCCGTGTGACCTCGGCTGTCTTACGCTCTGTCAGTGGGAGGAAGACTTAGGAAGAAGATTCTCTTGTGGATAAACCAACACGGCAGCTCTCCTTGATCTGCTCCTCATGGTTTTCTGTGCATTTTATTCTTCGTTGTTGGCACTCTCACCTTTGGGCAATTTACACTGAGGAAGTCGCAGGTGTGGGTGACGGTCCTCAGGCAGGACTAGGGCCTGGCCACCCTCGGCTGAGAGATGCAAAACTCCCCCGAGATTCACTGGGAAGAAATTCCACTGACAAAAGTTTCACGAGGAAAGGCCTTTCGGATTGTGTGGTGGGCTGGCCGTGTGTGTGCTCCATCAGCCTGTTTGTTTTCTCATTATGAGCCTAAAGAACCTCACATCTATTCTAGGCTACTAGCCAACCGCTACGGGTAGCTGCCCTTGCAGACGCCATCTAGACCGTTCCCGCCGCGGTGTGTCCTGGCCGCCTGTTGATTGAAGGGCTCGGTCCGCCCTGCTAGAGCAGAGGTGTGTCCGCAAGATGAAAGCAGGGAGCATAATAAGATTAAGCTGCATATTGGAGGTTTCTCTTTTTAGAAACACAAATCAGCAGTTGCAGCTTCCCCGTCTGCATTTATTTGGTCCTCCTCCTGCCTGCTGTTGATAGGTGAGTGGACAGTGCTAATCACGTCCCTGTGTAAGCACTGTTCCAGACCCTTCTGCGAGAGGCAGCCCTGAGAGGGCGCGATCCTCAGAGCTGCCTGCACGTCCTGCAGGGCCAGGGCTGCGTCCGCGCCCAGTGTGGGTGACACGGGGAAGAACTCCAGGCCGAGCCCTGAGCAGGGCTGGCGCTGCATCCGGCCGCGGCCCGCTCGGGTGGGGGCACGGGGTGGACCAGCACAAACCGAGCTCTCTGTTGTCCCCGCAGCGCCGGGTCTCGCCAGCACGATGGTCCCCGCGGCCCAGCCCTGACGGAGCGGGCACCATGTTCAGTGTGGAAGACCTCCTGATCTCCCATGGGTACAAGCCGTCCAGAGACCTCCCAGCACCGCGCGAGGACGGCCCTGAGGGACGCCAGCCAGCAAGGACGCGGACGCGAGCTGGCCACGGCCTGCTGAACGGGCAGGAGGATGGCCCTGCAGCCTGCGGGCGGCGCCAGGCGTCTGCGGGGAGGGGCCGCGTGAGTGACCGCGAAGGCGGCCGCGGGGAGCCCCCAGGGCCTTCCGCCTCTGGAACCTCTGAGGCCGGGTAAGCTTCGCCGTAACCTGCCCATTTCTTTTCACGTGGGAATTTGGCAGTGGGTTACGTGTGGGAAACTTTCCAGCTCTTCGTGCTTAACGGGGCCAGGGCGGGAGAAGGGGCTCGGAGAGGGAACGCTCTCTCCGCCGGGTGTCAGTGTGCCCGCGGCCCGGCGTGGTGGCCCTCAGAACGCGCGGGCACAGGTCCTGCGCGCCAGGTGTGCGTGTGCGCCTCTGCGGCTGCTCCCCGTCTAGCCGCCTCCTCTTCCTCGCGCAGGAATCGTTTGGGGCTTTGCAAACACTCATTCACGTCCTGGCCCGTTCGGCTTTCTTCTTAATGCATTGCAGTATTTCGTCGGTTGCAGCGAGTTGCAGAGGGCGTGCATCCCTCCCTTTGTGAAGAAGGACACCTGTCTTCGCGTGTGCTTGTGCCGTTCCGTGGGCACCTGACCCGCTTCCCTTGCGCACACGCTGGCCTCACACAGGAGCCCTTCCGAGTGCAGCCGCCCTGCGGCCCCTGGCGAGAGAGGGGTGGTTGGCTGGGGAGCAGGCTGGTGGGAAGAGACTCGAGGCAGCCCGCCGCGGAGCCCGCCGGGGAGAGAGCCCGAGAGCCTCCTCCAGGCGGCCTGGGCCTCGAGCGGGCCTCTGTCGGTACTCGGTGACGCTGCGCGTGTCTGGCGCAGGGACCAGGCGCGGGCCGGGTCGGAGGGGGTGGGGCGCGTCCCGAACTGCGCGAGGCCACCAGGGAGGGCCGCTCTGTCGGGGAAGCCAGCAAACGGAAAGGCGGCGACTTGAGGCTCGGCGCGCGCTAGGCTTCCGTGCAGAGAGGTCGCCTTTTCACAGAAAGGGTCTTCCTGGTCAGACGACAGCTTTCAGGCAGCAATGGCGGGATTTTGTTTTGGTAGTCAGTGCATTTAACACCTTGCTTGCTGGGCAAGAAGCGAAGGTGGGAGCCCCCTCTTGCGCGGTGTGGTAGGAAAGGTCTGTGTCGCGGGTCCCAGCCGTCTCTGGGGCGGGCGGGGCAGACACCGGAGTGGGAGAGGGCCGGGCGCTGGTTGTCTTTATCCTTGGGCTTCAAACTCGCCGTGTCCGCGACTGCCCTGGCTTAACTCTCTCGTCAGCCACGTTCCCCTAAAAGGTGCCCGCCGAGGATTGGCGAGAGGCTGCTTGCGGGCGGCCGGCCGAGGGTGACGCGGGCAGCAGCAGCCTTGGGCTCCTTTCGTCTCCCCCGGCTGTTTCCGGCTGTGCTGAGCATCTGATTCTTCCGGCCTGGATTTCTGGGTCCTGAGCTTGTGCCTCGTCTCCCATGTCTTTTGTGTTTCCTAAAGAGCTTGTGACAGTTCTGGGCACACAGTGGTTATTTAAAGTGTGCCGATGAATTCAGTTTTCACCCACCCCGCCATGGTGACGGCTGTTGAGAGGCAGAGCTCAGTCTCCAACAGGGCCGCGGCAGGGCCGAGTCCTGCAGACGTGCTGCCTGGGTCGCCCGGGGCCTCTGCGACGGGAGGGCCCGTCAGGGCTGAGTGCCAGAACGCTCTTTGGAGCCCTCTGTGGGCAGCGCGGCTCCCAGCCTCATCCACGACTTGTGTGGGACTTTCTGACCCCTTGTGGTGGCAGGTTCCTGAGAACCCGAGGGCCTAGTGCCCCGCCTCGAGGTGGCTGAGCGCAGTCAGCTCTGCTGGCAGCTACCTTTCTGTCCCAGCGCAGTGCTCAGATAAGTGGCTTTGCGTAGCTCTAGGATGTTTTCATACACAGCAGAGTTCTCAACACATCTGGCCTCTTCTCCATGTTTCTGGGGTTGGCTGATGAGCTTAGGAGGTGTGCAGTTGCATTGGAGTGGGCTCGCATGGAAGGAGGAGCAGAAGCATGCCTGTCTGCAAACTCCGTGCCAGCGCCTCAAGCCCCAGAGACCAGCTGCAAGGCCCCCTGGGTTGAAATGAAAAGATTCTTTAGTGGCCAATAGAGAACTGAAGATAGGAGGCCAAGAGAGGTAGGCACAGAGCATTATTTTTCCCCATTAGAAAAATAAGTGCTTTGGGAGGAAATAAATAGGTGCCAATAGTTAACAGCTTAAAAGGTTTTTGTAGGAAGAGAAACCAATAATACTGTGGCTTGGGTGGGCTGATTCCAGATGAACAAATGGTGCTCTGCCAGATCCTAGCCTTTGGTCACTTGAAAGTGCAGCTATGGCCTTGCAGCCTGTCCTGCCCCCACCATGACCCCTGCCAGGCTGGCTGCAGGTCCAGGGCACACAGGCCACCCAACTGCAGGCCATCAGGGCGACTTGGGAGAGCCCCAAGGGCTCCTCTTTTGCAGCTCCTTGGGCGGGTCGAGGTGTGCCCTGCAGTGAGGCTCCACACGGTGGCCCGTCCTGCACCCCACACACTTCCTAGGAAAGACAGGATTGGGGGGCTGGGAAGGCCAGAGGGGCTTTGTTTTATTCTGGCAGGATAGTGGCGCCGTGGGCGTGTCGCAGTGTTGTTATTTATAGCTAAGGGTGGTCGTCCTAGTTCATTCCGTGCTGCTGTGACAGGCACCGCAGCCTGAGTAATTTGTGGTGAACAGAGGTGTCGGCCCACGATCTGGAGGCCGAGACGTCCACTGACGGCGGCATCTCGAGAGGGCCTGTGGCTGCGTCGTCCCGCGGTGGAAGGCAAGGGGTGCGAGAGAACAAGGGGGCCTGAGGCGCCGCCTCCAGGGCACACGTCCCCACCCTGGTGGAGCCCTCGTGGCCTGAGCTCCCCTGGAAGGTCCCGCCTCCCCAACCGTCACGCTGGTATTTCAGTTTCCACATGAGTTTTGGAGGTGGCAGACGTTCAGGACGTGGCAGACGGGAAGCCCACAGAATGTCACTCAGAGTGGCAGTGTGGCAGTGGAGGGGACCCAGCTCGGGGCGCGAGCCCCCCAGGCTGCCACGCCTGGTGGGTGCCGCCCCACGGCAGTGCTGGGCCTGCCTGGCCCCCGCGTGTGAAGTGTCGAAAGGGGGCTCAGTTCTGTGAGCTGCTTTCACGGTCCCTGGCTGGGGTCTCTTCCCACTCCCCTGTCCTCTGCCCTGCACCGGCTCGAGTGGACGTGTGACAGCTCTCACAGCACCGCCACGCCCCTTCCTCTCCGGGGAGCCATACAAGGAGTGCACTCGGGCTGCCCGCCTGAGCTAATGGTCACGGCACCGCTTTTCTGTGCACTGTGTTAATGGCTGCGTAGACGGAGGGCGGTGTGAGCTGGGATCTGGGGTCTGGCTAGAACATCAAGATTCTCCAGTGAGAGTGTCGGGACTTATTTTCTCCTGCCTAACAAGTATCACTGACTTAGAACAGTTTCTTATTTAATGGCTGGTTATGTCTAATACAACTTTTACTTAAGAAATGAACCCAAACATGGAGCTTTGACTAGATTTCCAAACACACAGGACTCTGCTTTCCAGCTTGCCGAGGGGCTGTGCGTGGAGCTTTCAGCGCCGTCGGCCCGAGCAGCACTGACCGTGCAGGGCCGCGGAGAGGGGCAGCTCCGCTGGGCCGAGAGGAAGGAATGTGTGAGCCTGCTAACTGTCAGTGGCGGAGAAGAGCCCAGAGTCAGTTCTCGTTTGTGCAGTTTGTCCACATTCACGCGCAGAGGGGTTATTTTGGAAAGCTCTGTGTTAATGTGCTGGGCCATCCTTCTTATGGCCGGTGGCCTGCGAGCGTTGAAAGTACAGAGGATGGACTTTGAACCCAGGTCCTGGGACTCACTGCTCGGGACCTCCCCTGGCCCGGCTGCCTGTGTTGTCAATCCCAGCTGCCTCCTCCAAGCCAGACCTGTGTGCCGGCCACACGGGGCCACCGTGTGCTCCCCGCTCTCTAAGCCCTGCCTGGAAGCGCCCACCGCCCTCTCCACCCTGTGTCAAGCTGCAGAGCGCACCCTGTCAGTCAACTTTTTCAGGTTCCTTCTATTGAAATTACTCTCTCCTATAAATTCTTCCAGCACTTTCTCCTGGCCTCCAAGATTGTCAGCTACGGTAATTTCATTCGTCTCTGACATGGCTAAACACTATTAAAGAATTTTGCATTTAGTAAACACTCCTATTTTTTTATTTTTTAAACCAGTTCACTGGATGAACCTAGCACTTACCTGCCTCGGCAGGTGGGTGAGTGCTGAGTGTGGTTGGACACTGGACCAGATGGGACGGGGAAGGTGCTGCCAGGGACCCGGGCGAGGCTGGTTTGGGAGGGCTCCTCGCCCGGCAGGTGACAGAGCAGCGTCGCGGCTTCCGCTCTGACATGTGAACTCTTAGGGAGTGATGGGGAGCAGGGAGGAGAAAATAATGCTCATAGACTCAGTAAACTTATAGGGGCTGAATAGTTCCTAGGGTAAAGTTCCTCTCCTTTGGGTCCCAGAAAGTGGAACGTGCCTGACGGAAGAGCGGGTGGCTGTCAGGGAGCAGCGGGCAGGTGCGAGGGCCAGCCCTAGGCAGCAAGGGGAGGCAGGCGCGCCGGCCTCGTCGGTGCGGCAAAGACAAGGCTGGCAGTTGGCATCTCCCTGGGTGGCGGGAAGGGAATGACCAGACTCAGAAGCCTGAGTGTCACCCGGGGCAGGGGGCCGTGGTGAGGACAGTCTTCAGGCCAGAGAGCTGGCCATGCACCCCAAAGCATGATCTCTTCTCTCTTCACAGACCTGTCACTAAGTAACAAAAAACGTGGCATTTCCCCCCCTTTTAAGTCATTGGCTTCACGGAGAGCTCATCTGGGTGGACGCTGACCTCCCAGTGGTCTCAGCGGACAGACCGTGACAATGCACATGGCTGCAGGCTTTTCATGACGGCCACTCTCAGGTTGCAGCGGAACCCCACAGGCACATCCAGAGCTTGCTAAACACACACACACGCATGCACACGCATGCACTCCCATACACACATACACACGCACGCACACACACTAAGGCAAAGGGGAAATGCTATGTGTTATCTGCCCGTGGAGGAAACTGCATGCTTAAAATGCAAGTAACCATAGCTAAATAACACTTAGCCACCATTAA